GCCTGCCCAGTCATGAGGAAAATGCAAATTAAAACCTCAGTAAGATCCCAGTACACACCCTCTTGAATGGCTGACAACACTATTAGTTGGTTAGGATGTGGGGCAGATAAAACTCTCATACATTGCTGGTAGAAGTGTAAATTGGCACAATCACTTTGGGAAATTATTTTGTTAGAATCTACTAAAGCTGTACCTATGCCTACCCTATTATCCAGCAGTTCCACTACTACTTATATAGCCAAAAGAGATTTATATACATGCTCCTCAAAAGACATATGCAAGAATATGTTCTTTGTTATTTTCAAAAAGATAAAATCGTGGCTCTCATACAACTGTAAATGAGCTTGTATCATAGATTTTATTTAACTCGTTAGTGAGGAGTTAGGCAAGTGTTACAACCAGTTGCAAGGAGAATACGAAGAGATATATAGGAATGTTGAAGTGAATTTTGCTAGTAGACACAAACCTGGTTAATATACTTGTTAGTTGCGGACAAGTAGATTCTGACTCACATTGACCTGAAGAATGCAGAGTAGAACTGTACTCCATAGGGTTTTCAAGGCTGTGATCTTTCAGAAGCAGATTGCCAGGCCTTACTTCTGAGGTGCCTCTGGGTGGGCCACAACCTTTTGGTTAGTAGTCCAGTGCTTAACCATTTGTGCCGCCTAGGGATTCATACAATATCCTATTAGTACAAACTATACTATTTGGAATCATCTTTGTCACAGAGTGGAATTCAACTGATCGCCTACCAGACAAAACTAATTTGCATTTCCATGGACAAGAATCAATTGCATTACTATCAGTTTTCTACAGTTTATAAAATTGTAAAATAACTCAGTCAAAGACAAGGTGCAGATCCCTATAGAATCAGAAACCCCAGAGGGTCCACTAGACAGTTGTTGGTAATCCATTGAAAGAACACATGATAATCTTTTTCCCATTTCAAAGTATTTCACAATTTTCCTGACATCTTAAGAGCCCCAAACTAGAAAGAACCCAGAAGTCCATCAGCAGGAGAATGGATAAATTGTAGTGTTTTCACATAACGGGAATCCATATAGTAACAGAAATGAAGAAACTACAACCACAAGCAACAATATCAACGAATTTCATAAGCATAATGATGAGCAAAGAAACTACTCACAAAAGAGTACATAATATGATCCATTTAACAAGTTTAACAAGTAAAACTTACGTAAAATATTAGAAGTTAGGATACTGGTTATGGTTACTCTTGAGTTGATGGTAGTGACTGGGAAGTGGAGTGAAGGGGACTTCCGAGTACCCAGAATATTCTGTTTCTTGATGTCTGTGCTGGTAACAAAGGTCTGTAAACTTTGAAAATTCATTAAACTGTATGCATACTCATGTTTTTGTGTATTTTTTGTATGTATGTTATCGGCAAATAAAAAGTTTTCTCCCTCAAAAAAAAATCAGGTTCAGGCCACAGCCTGTGACTAGTGGAAGGTGGAGGTGTGAATGTGTACTCTTGTTCCAATTCTGTGGCATTGTAGAGCATTATTTTTATTGTCCTTGGTATTTGGTTGGATTTTCTATTTTGTAGTCAGAAAGTCTTAGAAAAGTTATCAAGATTTAAGAAACAGATTTGGTTCTGATGTCTAGATAACCTTCATTTGCTTTTAAAATTCTCTAAAAGCATTTCTAAAGCTCTCCCAGAACTTTTATAACCTTTTGTATGTGTGTATTGTTGTCTCGGCTGTTACAATTTCCTTTGCCTTAGATTGAGTTGTGAGATTCTAAATGTGTGTTCCCCCCACCCCTTTTTTGGTTTGGTATGTAATTTGCATATTTTCACCATGCGAAAGCTATTTTCTGTGGTTGGAAAAGATTTTTTTCCTACAGTGTGAACAAATCATTCTTTGTTCTCCTTATTGTGCCTCCAAACTGGTACGTCCGGTTTATGCCCCAAACAACAAAAGTCTGTCATCAGAAATTAAAATGCCAGTAAGAACAAAGCTAGAGACCCATGAGGAGCTCTTGGAGAGGTTTCCTCCCTGTTCGCTCCTCTCCCCAAGTTACTGCAGTTACCAGGAAGTTGGAACATTGTTTGGTACACTCCTTCCTTGTAGTTCCACTCTTGTATTTATTGTTATTGTTGGTTTAAAAGTGAATTTACAGCTTCTGGTAATTCTTTTCAGGATATATAAAATCCTGATCTCTGAGATTCTTTGCCATTTTCAATAAGAGTTCTTTTTAAGACACTTAAAACATCACTTTTGAAAGCCTTTTTAAATTTTACTTTAACATAATAGGTTTTGACACTCATTTCTTTGAAAGCAAAATTACTAGTGCACGTACTGCATAAAGTTATCAGAGGCAATCTAGAGAAGCACTAAGGCAGAGTCTGTAAGGACATATCCATCCTTTCTTAAATGTGTATTTTCTATTTGTGTATACTTTGTTAGCACTGTTTCTGTTCAGATGATATGTAGAATTTGCATGTGTGTTTCAAGAGTTCTTTCCTCTGTGAAGCTTGACATTTGTAACTCACGGATGATAACTTAGAATTATACTTCTAATTTCAGTAGGTTGTACAGTCCTGACTTTAACATACCCATAAATATCTGTAAATAGTGGCAGAATGTTTCTTCCCCCTTCTTCTCTTATTTTACAATTAAGTGAGATTCTAGAGCCTTACCTTAGAGGTAATGAAGGTTGGGTAATGAATGTTGGATGCATTTTACAATCAGTCCTGATGGTTTTTCCTCACCTGTTGCTCTATCTGCAAAGAGGCATTTAGAATAGAAGCTTAGAATAAAATAGGGCATTTAGGTTTGTTCTGAAAGCTGTTATGCTGAAAAGCATAATGTGTTCAGATTTCAAAATGTTTTCAGAAACCTCTTCACAAAGTAAGCTCCTGTGTATTAAATACAGCGATAACAAACCTTTATTGTATTGTGATTATGCCAAGAGAGGTTTGTTTAATTTTTTATTATCCAGTATAATTGAGTATAGCAGCTCAGTTCAGTATGGTTAGAGTTTTTTTTTTTTTTTTTTTTAACGTTAAGGCTTTATTTGATAGAACCCAAAGCTAAATGCTAGGCCTCTGGCATATGGAAATAATAGTAAAGAATGATAGATCTTGAGTTAGAATAGTATGGTTTGTTATAGGTATAAACCTTATAAGTGACAAATGTCTTTTATTACTCAGAATTATAATTTCAGTGCATGTTCTACAGTATTATTTTGTAATTTATTTTCATTTCCTTGTTAATAGAAATAGTATGTACAGTGGAGAAGGCTATTATTTAATTCACTGCCCAGCAAACAACTTATTTTCAAAAAGTAAATGACTTGGCAGTTTTTTTATTCTTCTAGCTGTTGTTAAAATTTCATGTGTCAGGTAGGAAGAGATAGCCATTAATGCATCTGTAATGGGATTAGATTACATTGTTGATATACCTTTTATAGTATGTGTGCTTAAAATCAGAGATTGTAATTTTTTATATTTCAGAGAATGTATGTCACTTACCCTGGGTAGGAGGTGAAACAAAATGACCTTTTAAGGCTTTTTGTAACTTTTAAATTCTGTTTAATAATAATAAAATGTAGCCTTAAGAGCTATACTATATAATGGCCATGATTTTTATTCTGAAAAATTTAATTGAACTTCACAAAAGAATTTGTATAGTAGATCAATTCTTAAAATTTACTATACTGAGTTTGTAGCTTTTATATGTTTAATTGGTGGTAGGTGGTGCTATCGTTTCATAGTTAGTCCTAAGAGTGTAGCATTCCTCATGTCTTCTGCATCCTCCAACTTTTCGGTTGCACCCCAGTGCGTTAACAGTGGGTACCACACCGGAACTCCTAATCTAAAGGATAGCTCTCCAGATTTATAGTTTAATATTAGAAGGTTTATAAGTCTTTTATTTCATAATGTATACATTGTTGATAGTTTAAACTGCTTGTTTGGCAGGCCTATTTAAAAAAAAATCAGCATGCTTCTTACTGGATTTGTATCTTTGTATCTTTAATCTGTTGTAGGTTTTTGTCTATTTAGAACTTGTTTTATAATGTTTGCCATTTTCCCTATATGATGTTACACATTCCATCAAATACTAGACAATTATGAAAATGAATTGATAACTACAGTACCGTTTACTATAAGTCTGGAAAGCCTTTCTTAACTAATTCTAGTTTAATCAGTTCAGTACTTCAGTTAGCAGCAAACTTTTCTCTTGAGCCACCATTTTTGAAAGGCACTTATTTTCACACTTGACACATATATTAGCATGCCCTTCTTACCCTTTGGATTAATAGAATGCTGTGTTCCTTATGCCTGAGAAATAAATCTGATATGACTCAAAATGAATGGGCATTCATTACAGTATAGAGAAAGTGATAAAAATGATGGCATTTAAAGATGCTGCCATATTTACCTTTTTTCTTCATAGAGTATTAAAATGAAAAGTATCCTTTTCAGTTTAGAAATGAGAATATAGCCTTATAGAGCTTAAATGATTTACTCAAGGTTAACAGCTGCTTACTGGCAGAACCATAACTGGAACTTAGGTCATTCATGTTGCACTTGAGTGTTATTTGCAATATATGATGTTTTGCTTTTTCTCTTATTATAACATATTTGCTTAAGTTGCTGCAGTGTTTAAGATCAAGTTTTCAGAATACTAAAAATGTTTACCTCTTTCTGCCATGGGAAACTGAATATTAATTAAAAAAAATCATAGTTACTAAGCTCTAAAATGGAAGGCAGTTATGCAGGAACTGAACAGACTTCCAGTAGTTAATAAAGATAAAAGTTACTGACTTCCAAGAAGGTATCTGTTCATATTGAGTGTGTACTCTTATAATTTTCAAAAATTTTATAGTAATTTGAATTTGAGTGTGTACTTATATGGCCAACCATACATTTCAGACAAAAAAAAAATGATAAAATTTAGGAGACTTATTTTCATATAATAATATTAGGACCTGAGTCTTTATTTACTGAATTTTTTTTGTCTTCTCTTATACAGATCAGTGGGGAAGCACAGGAACTCTTCTCTGTTCGACATGGCCCAATTCGAGCTGCTAGAATCTTGCCTGCTCCACAGTTTGGTGAGTGGAGCCCTTAAGGAAAAACAAATCATTCAGAAAGAGTTTCTCTTTTGTTGGTCTTGGACTACAGACACCAAGAATGATAACTGAAGTCTGTTTTCCTCCAAGTGCCTATTCCCTTTCCCCTCCTCCCCTCAAGATAAACTTTTAGTTCTGTCAGTTGAGATGGAAATAGGTAATCTTAACCAATTCAGTATGGCCATTCACTTTCTGCTGTGGTTTTGATTTATCTCCATCCTCTTTGATCTTTCTTTAGCCTCTGACTTTGCGGACTCTTTCTTGAAGCCCTCTTCTCTCTTGGCTTTCACTGGCATCTTTCTTCCCAGATCTTCCCCCTTGCTGACTGGGCCTTTGTTATGTTTCTGGTTTAGCTTTCTTCTGTGGTATTCCCCAAGTCTCTGTTGTCCTCCTGCCTTTGCCCCTCTTCTCTCCTTATACTTACTGTCTTGGAGAGCTTGGTTTTCACTATTATCTCTGTTTTAGACGACTCTGTTGTCTGCATCTCCACCCATGTCAAGGCTTGTGACTTTGCAGCTCTGTTTTAATAGCTAATACTTCCTCATGTTGTCTTTGAAGTATTATGTATATTTTATATTTATTTAAAAAAATTCAAATATATGTTCAAGTTAAACCTGCTATTTGGATGGTTAAATAATTCCTGGCTATTTAATACCTTGAGCTTTTTAAAGTTTGTATTTTCTCATAATTTGCCTATGTTCACTCAATTACATTTTTGCATGTATACAAAAAATATGATCATATTAATCTTGTTTGGATACTTTTAAATCTTTTTTTAAAAGAGTATATTAAAATACTTTACTTCTATTTTTAAAGTTTATCCTGAAGTGGAGTATCTTCCTTGTAAGACTTTTGTTAAGCAGTTAATTGGTGAGAATGATGTTTACTAAAAATTACTACCATGTGATTGTTCATAAGTAATTTTAGGGATTAATTTAGTGATTAAATCAGCTTAAATGAAACGGAAAGGGTAGAGACAACAATATCCTCCAGTGATTTGGAGATTTTTCCCTTGTGATTGAACTATGTGGCGTAAATAGTCTTCACCGTGCGCTCTGTCTCTTCCTCTTCCTTTTCTGTTGCATGTGTATTTTGGTGAAATATTTTGACAAAGGAGACTGTAGAACATTCTTTTCCAGTAGGTTTTTGGAATGTCCAGCTTTCTGTTTGGATAGTTTCCTCCATGGAATCAAGAGGAACTTTATTACTAAAGGACTCTGCTATGTGTTTCTTTCATATGTAATTCACTCCTTTATTTTATTTATGAAACCCTTATACCAGTTATTAATGTTCAGCTTTTCTTAACTTTTACTTTGGGCGGAAGTACTACATGAGGGAGCATCAAAGTATGAAAAGATAATATTGCTAGTATAATTTTATTTATAAGGTAGGCTTAGTTTACTTTGTCTATTTGAAAAAATAGATTTATTCCTCTACTGTAATATACTTTCAGAAAAGATACTGTAATATACTTTCAGAAAAGATACTGTTAGATTTAAAATATAATTTATATAAATAAGTGTTTTGATGTGACTCGAAAAAATTACTTGCGTCTTCTATTGCATTTGACTATTTTTTTATATTTATTTTTATCAAAATTATACATTCAACTGATCATATCTAAAATTCGTAATGAAAAATAGTTCTGGGGAACTTTTACCCATTTTGCTGTATTCTCTCATTTTGATGGGTAAGTCCTTTAGTAGCTTCCTGAAGAGGATGTGTGGGAGTCCTTGTTTGTCTAAGAAGATCTTTATTTTTCCTTGACTCTTTATTGATAATTATGCTTGGTGTCAAATACTTATTTGTAAATAATATTCAGAGTTTTGATGGCATTCGTCTAGTGGTATGGTAGAAGAGTCTGACGCCATTTTGATGCCTTTTTCTTTGGATGTGGCTTGTTTACTCTCTCTTTGCTTTCTTCCTAGTGTACTGAAATTTTGCAGTGCTTTGTCTTGGCTCATCCTTTATCCTACCCATTGCTGTTGAGTTGATTATGACTCAGCGACCTTGCAGGACAGAGTAGAACTGCTCCCTAGAGTTTTCAAGGGGCACCTGGTGGATTTGAACTGCCAACCTTTTGGTTAGCAGTTATAGCTCTTAAGCACTATGCCACCAGGGTTTCCTAGGCCCCTTCAGTGTGGAAATGCCAGCCCTACAGTTTTGAGAAATTTTCTTCAATATTTTGTTATGATTTATTCACCTGAGATTTCTTTGATCTCTCTTTCTGGTACTCATATTATTTGGGTGTTAAAAATCCTTCCAGATTAAAAAAAAATCTTTTTCTTTTCTGTTCTTTTGGGGAGATTGTCTCCATGTGGTTCACTAACTCTTCTGCAGAATAGTTCATTTCTGCTATCAGGTTTTTCTTATTCTACTCACCTATGTACCTACCCTCTTTTCTTTTCCTTCCTGGTATAAATTACATATAAATATTATCACACAGAATCCAATGATATATAAAAAGAATTATACATCAGTACCAAATGAGATTTATACCAGGAATGCAAGGTTGGTTAACATTTGAAAAATCAATCGCTGTGATTTATCACATTGACAGAATGAAGGTGAAAACCCATGTGATTATCTCAATAGATGTGAAAAAAACCCTTTACAAAATTCGGTAACAATTTATGATAAAAACTTTCAGCAGACTAGGAGTAGAAAGAAAATTCCTCAATTTGATAAAGGTTATCGACAAAAAAATCTTCAGCCAACATCATACTCAGTGGTGATACAGTGAATGCCTTCTTGATCAGTTGAGGATGACTTCTATCACCACTTCTGTTTACCATTGCACTGCAGGTTCTAGGCAAGAAAAACAAATAAAGGGTATAAGAATTAGAAAGAAAGAAGTAAAATTGTCTGTATTCATAGATGATTTGATTGTATATGTAGAAAATACAAAGAAATCTACAAATAGAATTAGTAAGTAAATTTAGCAGCATTGCTGCATGGGTTCACTAGGTCTTTTATGACTCGGTCCCTTCCCTGGGTACTTTTTCAGCATCATCTCCTACTGTACTTCTCCTGTTCCCCTGCCTCAAGTAATTATACTAAGTTTTTTTCATTTTCTCAAATGATCCATCCTCTTGTTTCTAGGCCTTTGCATTTGTTATAGTCTCTTCTAGAATTCACTTGTCCTTCTAACCCTACCTGCTCATTACCCATTCTCAGTAGTGTGTGTGCCCATAACACTTACTATTTTTAATTATAATTGCTCATTTGACTCTTACTTGCTAGATTTATGGGCTTTTTTCATATCTTTAGTGCCTCACAGAATGCTTGATACAAGGTGTTAATAAATATTTGTTGAATATTGTTATGTGGTATAATCTTCTGTAAGTTGCGATCTGGCAGAAAAGCAAGTTCTCTTTCTGTGTTTCTGGCAAGTCTGTTCCCTAACTATGAGTAAAATACTGAAGGATTTGGCTTTTCTTTTATCCCACAGACGGTTAGCATTCTATTTAATGGACATTTACTCATCACTTTCTTGATGAACCTAGACTTGCTTTAGAATTTTTCAACAAAGTATTACATAAAGCTGTGACCAATCAATTGGTAGTCTTACATTAGATAAAAAATATTAATAATTTTTCAGAAATCCATATTTCTAGAACCTAATTTCAAGTAAAAAAGAAAGTTGCAAGATAGTATCTTTTTTTTTTTTTTAATTTTGTTTTTATTGTTGTAGTTCAAATGAAGTTTACATTTCAAGTTAGTCTCCCATACAAAAATTTATACAGACATTGTTATGTGACCCTAATTGCTCTCCCCATACTGTGACAGCACACTCCTCCTTTCCACCCCTGATTCCCCATGTCCATTCAACCAGCTCCTAACCCGCTCTGCCTTCCCATCTCACCTCCGGACAGAAGCTTCCCGTTCAGTCTCTTGTATCTGCTTGAGCTAAGAGGCATACTCCTCACGAGTATCACTTTATGTCCCACAGTCTAGTCCAATCCCTGTGTGAAGAGTTGGCCTCAGAAATTGGCAAGATAGTATCTTAACATCTCATTTGTGCAATAAATCAGTATGTATATTTTAATATACTAATTAAAAATTTGTAGTGTTATAGACTTTGTGCTGATAACAATTATCTCTGAAGAGTGGGATCACAGGAGACAATTCCAAGGAATAGTGAGATGTAGAAAATGAAAATACCCGTAACTCTATGTTATCAGAGATATAAACACAGACTACTACTTTTTTTTCTTCCCCAGACTTTGTGCATGTACTGTGTGACTTGTATTAACAGCTTAGTGTATACATTTCTAGATTTTTTTCCATTAACTATTTATATTTGCATAAAAACAATTTATATTATGGCCTTGGTTTAATTCAAAATCTTTACGTGTATTACATACATTGGCTCATGTGTGTGTGTGGGGGGGCTTTTCCATAACAGTTTATATTGTGAGCATCTTTCCATTTCAAAACTTATAAATTTCTTTCATCATTGGTAAAAATTGTATACCGTTACATTGTATAGAATACTGTTTCCAACTTTTTTCCTATAGCAGTATATTGCCATATACTTGCATATATGTATACTTAAAAAAGTATACAAGGAATTATCCTTAGGATAACTTCTAGAAGGGGAATTGTTGGGTCAAAGGATATGTACATTTAAAATTTGGTACATGTTGAAAAATTGCCTCTCAGAGATAGTATACCAACATTGATTCATAAGAATTCTTTTTCTCTGTATTCTCTCTAGTACTAGCTTTATGAATCTTTTTAATCTTTGTCTGATGGAGGAAAATCCACTTAATATGTAATTTTTGATTTTTGATTGCTAGGGAGCTTGGAAAATCTCCATATTGTTTGCCATTTGTACTCTTTATTACCGTGCTTGTTTGCATTCCTTGCTCTTATTGATTTGAGCTCTTTATCAGGTCATTATTAGTGATATTATATGTGTCCTGTATGTTTTAAATACTTCATGGATTTGTCTTTAAATTTTGTGGTGTTTTTTCTTT